CCCCCCACCCAACGCTCTGGAGGATCACCGTCCGAAATCCCCTGGAGGATTTCGGGCAGTGATCCTCCAGGGCTTTGGGTGAGGGTTTCCTCTGGGGGATAAACCTTTTTACTAAATCAGAGCTTTCGCTTTTTTGGGCAATCCTCTGAGGATTCCGGTTTCACCTTTCCTCTAGAGGATTTTCACCCTAGCCATTTGTCTACCTGTGCAAGCTCTTTGTTTCAGAACATCCTAAGTGAAATCGGCGTATAACGGAAATTTGTGCACGGTGGTGCTGCACCGGCCGGGGCAGCAAGGAGCTTGATTCAACCAAGTCAAACTTCCCTCATAGGTCACGAATCACGCTGAAACTTCGTGAGCGCGTCTAAAGCGGCGAAAGAAGAGCGTAAGGGTGGATAGGGCTGTCGTGCGGAATCGGCTAAAAAAAGTGCGTGGTTTCGAGCTTCCGAATGAGGTCGACGTACGTACGCACCAAATTTTAATTTTCCACTGGTAACGAGTCTCAGGTACGTCCGTACCTGAGAGAATAAAGTAGAGGATGCAGGTCCAGCTGCTCGATTAAAAGGATCACGGTTGTTGTCTTTGGTGGCCTCTTTTTTCTTCTTCCCTCTGCCATGGTGTTCTAGGAGAGGGTGGCGGGGAGGGGTAGTCGTGCATACCGTGGTCGTTAGACCATTGACCTCGCATCCCTACAAAGCCGGGACGGAGCACGCCGGGTTCTCACCGGACCAGGCTCTCACATCACCAAGCGCGAAGCGCCGTGAGATATTCGGCGAGTCGCATGAAGGGTGCGCTGCATCCTGCTAAGGGTTTTCGGCATCTTGTGCTTACTTCCTTGCATACGGATGACAGCTGCGTATGACTTAATTTTTTTCTGGTGCTTTCATTTCCTGAAACAGTTGTAAGCACTGTGTATCTGCCTCGAGGGTGCTTGACCATATTAACACAACGTGGTGCGATCATCCCCCTTGCGCGGAGTGAGGGTTCTCCACCCCGCACATGATCTACTCGACCATCATTACGGTTACCGCCAAAAACAAGAAGAGAGGAAAAAAAAAAACGGTAACCGAGTTCACGAAGTGAATTGGCTTGTTTTACAACGTCGTTGCCAAGCGACGAAAACCCAATCCCGATGGCAAACACCGAGGGGGGGTTTGTTTTACAACGGCGTTGCCAAGCGACGAAAACCCAACCCCGATGGCAAACACCGGGGGCGGGGGGAGTGACGGGCGGGGGGCACAGAGAGAGAACTATTCTCTCTCCAACTAGCTCTCTTACCGAAGTTCTACGGCGAAATTCAACTCTTGCAACTGTGGATGTAACCGCCACGATAGCGTGTCAGACGGAACACGCCGGTAACGGTCGAATAGCAGTCCTACGTAGGAAGCCAAATTTGTACCATATCCACACGGAACAAGTGGACAATGCGTCTTTCAGCAGCCATATAACTACCAAGTCCCACTGCTGTACAGCAGTAGACCCCCTTTCTTTGACGACCGTAGCTGCAGATACACGGAAGCCCTTAATGGGGCTCTGATCCATCAGAAGGGTTTCTCAAAGTGAATCGAAGATACGACTCTTCAAACCCCTTCACACACCTCTAATAATCACACGAAAGAATACAGGAGCCAACCGAAAAAGCAACGGAAGTGGTGTTTTGCCGAAATCGGGGTTGGTTGATGCAGGGGAGGCTATGAATCAAAAGAGAAGTCGAAGGAACGACAACGAAGGAAAGCGAAAGCCCAGCCGAAACAACTGCGGATGTGGTATTCTTGCCGAAACCGGGGTTGGCGCAGACTATGAGTGAAAAGTCAAAGATCGAAGGAAAAGGACGTGAAAGCGAAATCATGCCGGACCGAAACGACAACGGGTTCGGTACTCTTGTCGGTACCTGGGTGGGTGCAGGCTAAGACCCTGACTCTATACAAAGGAAGAGGAATTCCAGTCGAAGAATAGAACATAGATATACACAGAAATGAGGCCGAGCTGACTAAGGTGCCGAAGCTGACGCTGGAGGTAACACAGGACAGGAAATTAAAAGTGGAAACGGATGCGGTATTCTTGCTTCAGCCGGGGTCCGTGTGGGCGGGCCGGAGTTAGAAAAGGATATGAAGTCTCAAGAAAGAGACGAACACAAGAACAAAGTAGCCAAGCCGAAACAACGATGGGTGCGAGACTCTTGTCGATGCAGGCTGAGATGGTATCGTCTAGCAGTCCTGCGTACGAAGCCAAGATTGCACCATATCCACAAAAACAAGCGGGTAGTACGTGGTCCCACAGTACTATATGAAATCCCATCACAGCGTGCGCCACGTCTCTGCTGAATTCCACACACGGTGCCGAAGGCAGAAACCAGCCAATTCAAAGTTCGTCAGCGAGGCACTCGTTACCGGCAACTAAGTACCACTACCCAACATGGCAGACACTGATAGTTACTTTGTTGAAAGCGTACCGTGCCACGAAGACTTTGGGGTGTACGTCACTGCAAAAGCAAAGAACGTCACAGTTCAAGTGCCACCGTCCCCCACAGAGAAGCACATGTCTCATGGATTCGACGGCAAATAATCACTCCGACAATCAAACGAAGTTAACCACTTGGTTGTAGATTTCTTTGGCGTCGTTGTTCTCCGGAAAAACGCCTTGAAGAAATCTGTAAAAGCGGTCCCTGCTCACCCGCCGGTACCTTGCAGAGGTGATGTACCTGAACATAGAAATCTCTCTAAAAAGACGCTGAGGACCATCATGAGCCGCACGGAAAGAGCCGGCGTCCGAGGTATCCACAATGCGGTCGAGTAAGATTTGGACAGATATGTTGCGGCATTCCACGTACTGTTGGAGCTGGCCGAGTAGGCAGTGCTCGTCGAAAAACGACGTGCAGATCGTGTGCGCGTTGTCCAAGCCCGCACTGCTGAGGGCCTGATTCAGAGATAGGGGGGGGGAATAGCAAGGAACACCGCCAAGGTCAGAGTACGACTATCTAGGTGGGAGTAGCAAATCAAGGGATACTGAATAAATCGCTGAAATACATTTTGAAGCAGAGTATAGCATCCAGCCGAACCTGATGGTTGCTGCCATTTGGGACGAACTTCTTGCCCGGAATGTGAACGTCCCCCGCCCGCTCTTGTAGCCAGTGTTGAAGATTGTCCGGGTTTTCTTTCTCGCAGTGCGTGATCACCAGCAAGACTGGGATTTTTTTTTCTGGTGATACAGGATGCAAACAAGCATGAGTCAGTCTGGATACTTAATCGCCATGTGCCCATGCCTGCATGGCTTGCTGTGGGGGCCGCAACCGCAAATGAAAATCTGTGTGGCAGCACTGTCTTCGATTTGTAGGAGCGTTTGAAATATCCATATCCATGTTCCACATATTGCTGACATTGTGTTGGGTTGTCAATCCACGCTCACTCTACACCAGTGGAAACGGACATAGAGCTCTTCCCGAGCCATTTTACCAGTATCAAGCAAGCAACGGCATCGCAAAACGGCCCGCTTTCGTTGCGTAACCTTTCATTCGCCGACAGAAAGGAACAGAGGTCATTCCGTGACTAATCATTCGAGCGTACCATCCTCCGAGCACGATCGGCACACACAAATATGGCCAATTGAAAAAAATGACTCCTTCTCTGTACCTACTACTCCGTCGGAGTGACGAAGTCCGTTCGCGATCTTCTTCACGAGTAGCTCATAGCACGCCGTCTCCGCGGTTGACAAGCGGCCCCTTTTCATGACGTAGATGATGAGATCGAGCTTAGAAGTCGCACGCAGAAGCTTCATCATTTTCCTGAAGGCGGCATCGCTGCAATGGGACATTGACGGCAGCCTTGAGACATCGAATCTCACCCATGATTGAACTTGGTAGGCACTATCAGGTCATTCTCTGGTGATCCGGGGCGGTCAAAACCCTTCGCAGAAAATTCGTCCTCTTTCGTGAACGCAGGGCCGGTGCGACGCTTCGCACCTCGGACAGCTGAAGTCACTCAACAGGATGGAAGTAATGAGGAAGGACAGTATCCAAACAACATCAGTAATCCTTTGGTTCGAGTTGATATGGTCACGACCAACAACAAGGAACGTGGTCACCTTTGTTCAAATTTAACGTCGAGGGAAACAAATACTCACTATGTGTGTATAACCAGACGCTACGGGTGTATTACCTGCACAACTCTTCACCGTCACTGTAAGCTCCCCTCGCCCCGTCGTCGAACCCCACGGTGTCGATGAACTCCAGCTTGACGGCCTCGCCACTGCCCAAGCAGGTGCCAACAATTAGGAAGCATGGCAACCAAGGTGTTTGCGGGAAACTCCTCCGAAGGAATCATGACTACCGCAACTCTTACACGCGAGGTCCCCCCCAAACGAGCATGGGAACCAACCTTGTTCCCACGACGGAATGGACAAAAAATGACACAATGACCATTCATTCCCCCCCCGTTCAACAGAAAAGTACGAGAGTACGTAGTCTCCCATTCACATTTTTTTGCGACGCAAACGTTGAACGCCTGAATAGTTGAACCGTTCGTTTGTTGCATTATGGTCAATATTCTGCACGCCCCGGGATACCGCAGCTCCAGGCAGACTACATGCATCAAATGGCAAACGTAAAATTTTCTGTTTCACTTGCAATCCGACAAGTTGTAGACACCATACACATGCAAACGATCTCCCTTGTGAACATACATCAATACTGGCTTCATCACATTATCGAAGCCCAGCACTTACCTCCCGTGCTTACGATAGATCCGTTCCTCCACCGCGTGGCAATTGAAGGTAACACCCGCGGCACCGTCGCCGATCTTGAGGCTCATTCCTGTGTTGAACGTGAAATGTCAACAGATGCCGAGGAAAGAATAAGTATGTCTTTTGTTCACATTGTAAGGTAAGCTTGTGTCACTGATGGGCATGCTTGGTACTTGCCCTCTACCCTGTTATCTGTCCCTGATAGAGCATGGGAGCTGGAGACAAGACGAAGTGTATAAAATATGACGACTGTCGATGATGGTATTGCAAAGAGCCTTGAGTTCTGACTGGCGGTGTGGGTGGGACATATTCGAGGAACACGTCCAGTCATCATAACAAACCGACTACGGATCTAAACGATGGGCATCGCATCTCGGGTGATCGTTGTCACCATCACAAGCAAGCCCCAACAGACGAAATAAGGGTCGATCGAGTTGTTCCAAATATATACCTGTCAAAGCGTTGATCAAACTAGTCTTTCCACTCCCGGCTCGACCTGCAACGAGAATTCTTCGAGATTTCGCGGGATCGCCAGGAAACGTTCCTGCGCACAATCTTCCAGCTGAGCTTATCAGGTTGAATGCCACCTTCCCAGCAACATCCCAAGCAAAGGGCAAGACTGTCGAACTGACGAATTCGGCCATGATGGTTGCTGGACCCGCGTTTCCCAACTGTCCTGTGTTTTCGATTGCGCTACGAACAGGTGTTGCAGCTGATCTGAGAACGCAGGGGGTGGTGGACGGGGACACAAGGGTGTGGGTGTGGACGCGTGAGAGCGAATGACCTCGGGCGAATCGTTTTGTACACGGAGAGCCACCACGAGGAGGAGGGGCGTGTATGAATCCATCGGCAAGAATCTTCCAACCCTCTGTACGCCTTGCGACTTCCTAGCAGGAGAAAAAAACTCTAGAGCGTAGATGAACTGGGTGGTAACACCAAGTGTGCATAACTGCAGGAAGGAGGGCCCCGATCGTCACTCGGCAGATAGATTGACTGGCAGGCATAGTGGATGCGCGATGGAGCTAGGCGCGGTGTTGCTGGGGCCCAACGCGCACCAGGCGCTGCATATTTTCTTTTGCAAAGCGCCTTTGCGTGCACTTGAGTCGAGAGCAACAAGGGTATCGAAAAATCGATACACGCTAATGATCACCGCTAGGCAACAACTACCCCAAGCTGCGGCACGAGTGCTGGTGAGAACCGATGATGTTGCAGTGTCCCTGACGTGCCAGGAAAATCGCTAATTTGACCCGAGACGATGTTCTCCCGAGCACCACTAGTCATGCCAGGGCAAGCCCCCGAGGAGAGCAGAGTTCAGCTTGAAGCACAAGAATAGCAATGCTGCTTTACACAGGGTGATACAGCCCGAATCAGCGCCAAACTTCCAAGACGAAAAGTACATGCACAAGATAATATCGTGAGAAACTTGACGTCACAAAATAGCTGTTCGAGCACACCACATCACGGTAAGGCAGAGGGCAACGAAAGGCAAACGCGATTCATTGTGATTCCCCAACAAAAAAGGGTAAGGGTGTGACACGGAGCATCACAATGCACGGAACAATAACGCAAGTTACGAGGCGACAAGCCGAGCTACACCGTGGTTTGCGCCCCATCTCGCAAAAGCGAAACATCTCTCCGCTCATCGCGTTCGAGGTTCTCACGATACATACAGCCAGTACACAATCTCACATTTTTGTAGTTTCTAGGTGACGTTCGCCGTCGCCGTCGTGTTCTGTCGGGCCCGCTCTTCGCTTTCGTAGCTCCGCCCTGCGGGGATGGGGGACATGGGATGAAGGTGTTGGTCTCGTGACCCAAGATCTCAAGATGCACTGATTGCAGTACATGTGCCGGCAAATTCGTGTGGTACCACAGCAGTGGAACGGTGGTCCTCGTCAGCCACGCCCGCAGCAAAAACAGCAATCGTCGCGAGGGGGTGCGCTCCGCAGTGGCTGCCGTATCGTCCTGCCTCACGGCAACCCTTTTCCGGTAAGCCACAGTTTGGGATTGGGGGAAGTCTCGACTGCGGGAAGAACGCATGGTACCATCAGCCGGACTCACCGCCTCCACCGAATTCGCGGGTGGGAGAAAGTGCATGTCTGTGGGCGGTGTTGAAGACATGTACATTAGGCTATGCACGTTGCTGCACCAAGGCGGTTTGAAGGCAGCTGCTCCACGTGCGGTGAATATGGTCACGTCTCTAACGTTTTTGCCATACACGGTCATGGAGTGGCACACCCGCGTGTGAACGTCGTTTCGACGCAGCTTGCGATGGCTTTTCCCGTTGCGGGCCACATGTCCGCTGAGTGAGGCGGGGATTACTTCTTCTTTCTGGAAGAGAGTTTCCCACGAGTTTCCGGCCGCTTCCTGGCCCTTAACATGTTTCTGGGGTGCCCATATCGGCTGGACCCGCGGCGACGGCGGGTGGCGGTGTTTTCCCTGCTGTAGCGGCGGGGAGAGTCGTGGCGCCCCCAGCGGCTACGGCGGCGACGCCGAAGGCGTCCGGGGGTGGTATTTTCTTCGCTGAAGTGGCTAGCATAACGGCCGGAGCGCCCGAGTTGGCGCCTGGAGCGACGGGATCGGCGGGATCGGCGATGGTGGCACCCGCGGCGACGACGGCAACCGGGCAACGCTCCGTGGCGATAGTGGAGTCGCCGACAACACCTGCGCAACAGCAGTACCAGCAGCCGGAAGAGATGGTGATGTCGCCTTCGGGGGGCGAGCCGCTGCTTGATATCCGTCAGGAAGAGGCAGAGCAGGCGGACCTCATCGACAGCAGCAGCAGTGATGATGGACGGCACGCCGAGGAGGTCGGCGACAGCAACGGTAGCGGCGCCAACTGCAGTGGCATCGACGGGGGGTTGGATATTGCCTGGTTTGGAGCATCGCTGCGCCCTACGACCCGGGGAAACGCGGCATTGGTAGCAGTAGTAGTGATGGTGGACGGGACGCCGAGGAGGTCCGCAACAGCAGCAGCGCCGGCAGCAGCAGCGCAGCAGCGACGAAGGGCTGAATGTGGCCTGGTTTGGAGAATCGCTGCGCCCCTTTAACCCGGGGAACCAGCTGAGGGCGACCAATAGGGGGGCCGTGCTGCGGGTGGACACCCGGTTCGAATGTGGGAAGACGTTGGAGCGGCGGCGGGCGAGGCACATGCCTTCATGGCCGGAGCAGCGGAGGAGGATCTGGTGGTCACGGGAGAGGGGCGCCGAGAAATGGATATGGAAGATTCGAGGTCTGAACCGAGGCGTGACGCGACGAATTTGACGGGCTTGTTGCGATGGGAACTTTCGAGGTGTTGGGATTGATTTTGTGCGGTTTGTAGATGCAGCTTTCCTATTTTGGTTGACAATTCATGGCCACGTGTTACTCATCTGTTAGACTGGTAGTGTATTTGCTGTTGAATTTCTCGTTCTGGTGCGTCTTGTTGCAGAGGGCTGATCATGTTGTGTTTAACATAGATAGGCGTATGGTCGTGATGGCCGACAGAAACGTTGCAAACCTTTGTCGCCCAATCCCTGTTGTTCGCAGTACACAACACGAAATTTGGTGGTAGGGTTGAACCTTACAGCAGGCAGTGATTTTACAAACCGAGCATTTGCAACACGGACTTGGCGATCAGCTAGTCTATACGACTACAACCACTACACGAACGTTTGCAGGGATTTTACGGTAAGGACATTGTGTTAAAAGCATACTTCGTAGTACGCTTTTTTCTGAATATGTTTTTTGTGTGCTGGACCTGTAGCATTTTGCACCGTTCGACTTGACGGATGGGATGAACGAGGTATTTCAGGGAACGAGGTATTTTGTATGGGTATGCCCGTGTTGGCACTGGCTAGACTGAGTGTCGGGGGGGGCATCGGTGATTGCCTCACTTTCGACGAAATCCGTTTTCCTTCCACGCGATTTTGTGATGTGAGTCAGTGTAGCGACCATGACGTATTGTATGGACGAAATGCCGTTGCAGGTAGATTATGGCCGAAAGCAATCGATGGAAAGAGGAATGGGGTTCATCAACGACTGCCATGTCGCCACACAAGGGATACTGCATTGATATGCCGTTTGTCGGGTTTGGCATTGGTTGGTTTTTGGGATGTGTTGTTAACCGGATCGCGTCGTTCCTGCGAAGTCGGTGCCTGAGTATTTTCGGAATATGCTTCATGTCGCGTTGTACCCGCGAGCTGGACACGTTGCATGTTTCTCTAGCGGGGTGGGTCCTATATGTGCAACTTCTAGTTGCGGGACGGGTGTCGTTATTTGGCATTGTTTTTCTTTGAAGACGGAGGTGGGCGCTTTCCTTCCATTTCTTCTTTGCCTTGCTTTCTGGCATCCCGTTCCTGACGTTGTGTGGTGCTTCTGGCAGGTCTGTGTGTATTCGGAGTGACAATTGGCATGATGTTGGAGGTTGTGCGGGTCTCTGCTGGTTGTACTGCCGTCGAACATCATGGGGGGATGTAATCCTATGATTCCCGCCGTGGCACATCAAGCAGTGTATTTTCTATCCAGAGGTTTTCTGGTTTTTGGATTTGGCTTCTTGTATCGAAAAAGTACGCTGCCTTGTAGGTAAATATTCGACCTTTCATGATCTGGAAGAAGGATATCCCCTCAGGGGAGCTGTAAAGCATTGGCTCATGTTTAGGTATACGCAGTAAGTCATAGGTGTTCCTTTATGTTTTCGTACACAGCATTCCTTTCTGGATATTTTGGGGGAAGGATTCGATTTAACCTTGGCGGACCTTCTTGGGTAGAGTGTACACCGAAAGGAAATGAGTTTGGCATCGTAATATTCAGGCCAAAGAACTACGGTATTGTGAAGTTTGAGTGGATGGCATGATCGGCTGTTGTTGTGTGTTTGGCATGGGACATTATCGCCGATTTGCCTGGTGACAAATGAATAGCTTCTTGGATGATATCGAGTACCGCGTAGGGGTGCTGGTGGGCGCTACTCAGCACTCGGTACTGATCTACGGAGATCTAGTGTTTCGTGTTGATTGTGGTATGTATGTGTTTGTAGAGGGGCGATCCCCCTTCTGGGTGCATGGGCTAGCATGCCTGGCGCACTCGTTAATGACACCAGTTCTTACGTCAACCTTCTCTTCTCTGCGCTCCTCACAACAAGCTGCCCGTCACCAAATATCCCAAGAGAAAATGTTGTCATGAAATTTTTTCGTGACTCTCACCACAATTTTCTCGTGAGATTCATGAGACTTAAGTACACGAATATGATGAGACTGAGCAAATACGCCAATCTTCTCACGAGAATATTGTATATCATCGACACGAATACTGTGACTGACACTAGACTGTCATCGATTGTGACGTCAGATGACCTGTCGGAGAGAACAGTACCAGAAACGGCTAACCCGGGTGGATTATCGCCATGTCAAGTTACACTTGGAAATCAACACGACACCGATCTCCGACAGCCTCCGCCGTAGATCGCGGCGAAACCAATAAACCGCTGTGTCCTGTGTCCTGTGCCTCGGAAGCATGATGCATGAGGCAGGTCGTGCCCGTTTTGTCTCTCTGTGCCTCCCTCTGTGTACTCTTACTGATCACACCACACGGAACGAACTCGCGCATCAACCGAGTCCGACCCTCTGTCGAGAGGGGCCGGTATCCTATGGAGGCAGCGCCCATCAACGAGCGAGCGATGTTGGTGGTTTGGTTGTGGGTATGAATGTGTGGGTACACGGTATGTGCGGCACACGTCTTTTTCTGCGGGTTTCATGCTAGAGTCGTCGGGCGCCGGAATGATATTACCATTTTTGGGTAAAAAATCGACCCATTTTGGGTACAATAGGAACCAGCATCGGTTTCACTAGAGGGTCGTGATGCCAGCGCCGGTTGTACCCGATAGAGGTTTCTCCAAAAGTGGGTGTGATGGTGTTTCGGCCAATCAGCTGGCTGCCTGGGGGTGTATATGTTGAGTTCTAAGTATACCCTAAAATGGTGATAAACCACCTGGGTATACCCGTTTCTGGTTATTGGCCTGTCGGACATCTACCCTCGGGGTGATGACACAGATACAAGACTCACTGGACAGTGGACGCTGAACCCGGGTGGCAGTGTGGCGACCCAGCTCCCCCGTTGCTCACAACCCGTTCATACTACATCTTCTCGCAAGAGGTTGAATGGTATGCCTCCAAACACACATCCCGAAGGAACTTTTGCCGCACAGCGACAACCTGAAGACCCCCTCTCAGAGTTGAACCAACAAGGAGTTTGCGGGATCGTGTTCTATTTCGGTCGTTGAAGTTCGAAGGAAATGCAAGCCGAGATCATATGTTGATCTCGAAAACAGCTTGCAAAGACCATTGTAAACTTTTTTCAACAAGTCATGCAATGTGACGTCACGATGTGGCAGCCGTTTGCCCTTTCTGTTTGTGCTCGCGTTTCATGTCCCCCGTCCGGTGCAGCGCTCTACCAAACATACATGTGACATGTACTTCCATACCCAGTACGCAACAAAACTTCCTTCTACTACTACTGCCATGCGCCATCGAAAAGAGATACTTCCTCTGTATCATAAGTTAGGGTACCTAAATGCAATAGATTGTCTGGGTGCAACCGTGTTAGTGATGGTAGCATAGTCGGGTTTGTAAGAAAGATATAACAAAGAAAAAGCGATAGAAAAAATAAAATAAAAAAACGAACATCTATCTCTGTACCTAATATCGGTCAAAATATACCCTGTTTTGGCCTGTTATGGGAATATTTTTGAGAAAATATTTTGGGATTGTTTTTGAGAATTCTCGAAAAAAATCTCAAAACCATCTGATATTAGTACCCTACCGGCCCACTACTCACTCTAGCGATGGAATCGCCCCCCAGCACACCACCTCGCAAAAGGGGCACCGAGTTATCGGTTGGTAGGCGCTATGCCATGGCGGTAGAAATTGCGATGGGCATTCAGCCGGGGTTGTCAACGATTCCCAAGGGCGTGCTTGACCCGATCTGCGAACGCTACGGTGTCGGAAAGAAGTACCCGTCCAAGTGTCTTGATTTTAGTGTGTGACCCCCAAGTGTCTTGGTTTTAGTGTGGCTCACTACTTTAGTGCTTTTATTATAGGAGGCGCGACATGGATCGTTGAGTAGAGGGGGGGGTTGGATGAGGGCCGTACTGTTGCTTGCTTTGCCCCGCAAGTGTCTTGGTTTTAGTGTGGTCCCCCCAAGTGTCTTGTTTTCAGTGTGGGGGCCACTATTATGCTGCTTTTAGTATGGGGGACGCGTCATGGATCGTTGAGTAGAGGGGGGGCTAGGTTTAGGGTCAGGGATAATTCTTGGTATTTTTGCCTTGTTTTTGTCATTGCCCCGCCCCCCCCTGCCTGGTCGGAGGGGGCAGGATACATGCAAAATACGGCCTTTTTCAGGCCGACTGGTTTTTTCTCGGCCGCTCATGCACGCGGGGTGGCGCATGAATAAAAACAAAAATAAATGTTTCTTGCTCAAAAAACTCCGAAGATTTCAACAAAAAAATCGGAAAACAGATCGGACACGGTTAAGGGCCCGCACAAAGTTAGGCACCCTAACTTATGATACAGAGGAAGTAGATCTTTATTGTGCGCTCTAGCTAAGTTGACTCATCTGTACACAAACGAAATAGGCAACACCCACAACCACGACTACTGTGTGTGGCAAACGCCGCGTGAATGTTGGTTCCTTGTCGGCATAAAGGCCACATCACACTCTCCTCAAATGGCCTTGGACGTGAACAAATGCCAATCGCCACGGAACCACTTGGATGTTACCTTCATGTGAGCTATTTGCTGAAGCGGTAGGCTTACCCTGAGAGGTGTAGCTGTAGAGTGTGCTGCGCAACCCGTGTGAGCATTTTTTCCTTGCTGAGCGGTGAGGTGTGTGTGTGCATGTGTTTTCGTTAGTATCATCGACCGCGCTGACCGGTTGACCAATGCAAAGACGTCATAGTGCGGTTGAATACACAAAACACTTGCATCTGCCACAACTGGGACCCCGTGAGGGGGCAGCATGGGGGAGGCTAACCTATCCTTCGGATCAAGACAGCAACGGTAGCAACAGAAGAAAACTGCACGCGTCTACCAAGGACTATTACCTTGTACTCAAGGTCGTTTAGGAGTACTTTGACCATGATCATCCTTGTTTTCGTTACCATCATTCTGATCATCACATTGACAATAATTTCTTTATGTGTGTGTGCCTTGAACAATCAACAATCTACACAACAAACAACCGAGCGTGCGCATAGACTATGTCAGAGGTAGTGCGCCAACGAGAGAGCAAGTGCGTGCGTCCCTACGGGCTCCTTTTCGCCCTCCGCCTCTGCCACTCACGAACTTCTGCCTCGTTTTTGGGCTTTCCTGCGGGGCACACACAAGGTTGTTTGGGTCGTTCGCAGCCCGACCAGCAATTGAAGCAGATACGGGTTGTCTCACAGGGCGGAAAATTCCAATCAAAAAATCCTACAAAGATAAATTTGATCTTTTCTGCGGTCTTTCGGGGCAACTCGTAAACGCCAAAGATCAAATTCCTAAAGAGCCATCTATCTTGCGCGCTCGGGATGATAAAAAAGATCGAAATCAAATCGAAATTCGATGTTCGCAAATATCGTAGTTGGCGTCAGCAGCAGGATAGTGTGAATACATCCGGAGACCCCCTCCTCGGAATATCATCGGTTCGTTTCCCTTCGGGGCAAGTAAATGCTTCACAACAGCAGATGAGGACAAAGTACTGCCGCGATCCCTACAAATATTTGTCAGTTGTTCAACGCGACGTTCCCCGCAGCTTCTACCCGTGCGTGTGATGTGTGGCAGCCGTAGCATGTGACAAGTCGCCTTGTTACCGCTTGTTTTTCATCATGCCTCACGCCATGAGCACGGTATGTGTCTAGCGCCACTTTTTTGCGCACAAGGCAAAGAACGATGCGGTATCAAAGAGGCGTGATGAGCACACCCACTGCAACTCTCCTCATATTCATCTCTGTACCTCCGGAATGCTGTTGTTGTTGTTGTTGTTGTTGTTGTTGTTGTCTTCTCCGTTCCGATATCTAAATCTAGTGCTTGGATACAAGATCCGAACTGCAGAGAACATGTGTGGGGAGTATACTGTTGGGGGTCCAAGTGCGGAGCCCCTCGTGAGAGCCCACGCATGTGTTCACTGTGTCTGCAAGAAATACAAGCATGCTGTGCTGGAATAGAAGTGTGTGTTAATCAAGGTTATAAATCATCTGCAATTGGTCCTCTGGCTTAACATAGTCCCCAGACAGACATATACCGTGGATGGGCACGGTACCGTCCGTGGGTGGTCACGGCGACCTCCGTGGGAGGTCACGGGGGTACACAAACACGAGTCCGCCCGATGTCGGATTCTGAGGATGCTGCAGAGGAGGCAGCAGCTGCGAAGAGGACAGCATCCGCGGCGAGGGCGGTAGAGGAATTGAGGAAGAAAGTCCCACCAGCGATGGACAAGATCGCTGCGTTAGAGAGTGCCGGAAAGGCAGCAGGTGGACAAGCTGGGTGAGCAGCTGGAGGAGGTGTTACATGCCGGGGGTGGGCCCGGCGGTGGATCCAGGAGATTATTTTTAAACAAGGACGGAAGGATCGACCCAAACCATTTTTTTTTCAGAGAGGGGAAGAAGTCCCATTTGTGGTACGGTGGACACCAGCAGCAGGTGACGAGAGGAGTGCAGCAGCAGAGCAGCCACCACAACCACGCACGTACAGGGCACACCCGGTACCAGCATAAGCAGCAGCTGGTGCCCAACGAACGCCCACGCCCTCCCGCTGCTCCCCCTCACGAGCAGCAGCAGCAATGCAGCTGCTGTAGAGAGAAAGGTCATGTACATCAGTATTGCAACTTCAAACTCACCCGCGGACCGTTTCAGCAGCGGAGGAACGGCGGTTTGGCGGCGGGTCTGTGTTCCAGCTGCAGCAGCAACAGCAGCAGCCAGGCGTGGTGTATGGCAACGCTGGTGGGCTTCAGCAGCACCCGCGGCACCAGGAGCTATCGGCCGGCTCCACGGGCGGTGTGGTTGGGCAGGTGAGTGATGCGGTGTTTGTTGGCGAGAAGGCGGGGGTGCAGCTGCCGGTTCGTCTGCGGCGTCTCTGCCGGTCAAAGCCTCCGCCAACGTAACTTCTCTCAACGCAGTTACACACCCGCCACTCATTCTCCCCCGCAACCCACGACATCACGTGTAGCAGAGCTGGAGCGCGTGGAGGCCGGGTACGGCAGAAGTGTTGCAATGCGGCAGCTTCCCGGACCGTACCGCGTTGTTGTAATTTCACCGTCTGCGACATCAAAACAACCCAAGCGGTCACCGTCGCAGCAGCAGCAGCAGCAGCAGCAGCAGCCGCAGCCAGAGGCCTCACTTGCGCCATCGCCCACAGCACACCATGTTGATAAGCTTCGTCCTGCTGCCCCATCTTCAACTGTTGGGATTCGTGGAACGGCATCCGCATCGGCGGTCGCGGCGGCGGCTTCGGCCAGAGCTGCGGCAGTAGGAGCAACGCCGCCGGGAGCGACAGAGGCAGCGGCTGCGACGGATGCGGCGGCGGTAGAATGTGAAGAACCGTGGGAGGAAGCGGCAAGAGCGACGGAAGCAGTGTTGGTCCTGGAGCAGCCTGTCGTGAGCAGCAAGAGAGTCGACAGCAACGGCGTGAAGAGCCTCTTCCGATGCTTGGCGGGGGGGGCAGCCAGGGTGCATTCGCCCGCTGCGGCGGTGACGGTGGCCAGACCTGCAGCAGCGGTGGAGATGACGGTATCTACGGTTTCGAGAGGGATGCGTGAGAAGGGTGACCACACTAGCGGTGGTAGGGAGGACAGGAGCAGCGGTGGCCGCAGCAACAGCAGCGGCCACGGCGGCGATGGCGCAGCCTGGGATGGAGCGTCAACGCATCCCTTTGACAGAGGGAAGCTGTCCCGGTGGAGGAGAGCGACCAGGGGTGCCGTGCTGGGAGTGGACCTCCCATCCGATCGAGGTAGAGATGCATGGGCACATGTTGGGGGGTGATGCTTCGCACCAAGCGGCACCACCGGGAGCGGCGGCGGCGGCGCAGACGGCTTCGGCCAAAGCGCCGTCCCCGACAGCAGCGTCATCAGGAGCGGCGACGGCAGTGGTGACTTGGACCAGAGCTCCGTCGGCGGCAGCGGGAGTGGCGGTTACGGACAGAGCTCCGGGGGCAGCGGCGACGGCAGGACGCGCCGCGACGTGAGTGGTGGCTTCGGCCAGAGCTCCGTTGGCGGCAGCGGGAGAGGCGGCCTCGGCCAGAGCTCCGGGGGGGGTGGCAACGGCGACGGCGGTGACGGTAGTAGCGGCCGCAGCAGCAGTGGCAGCGACGGCAGCGGCGGCTTCGGTGGATACCCTCGAGTCGACCGAGCAGGGGGAGGAAACGGTGGCAACGACGACCTCACCGTTTCTGCGCGAAATTGGAGACCATGTGAAATGTTAACGAGCTTATTTGGGGTTTGTGTACAGGGATTGGCATATCAACTTCACCTTTTTTTCCGTTGCGCCGAAGACGAGAAATTCATCCAGGAATCGCCTCCGAGAGACAATGTGTTGATGTGCACGGCATTCGTGTTTGTGGTTGAGTAATTCGTCTATCAGTACGTGTTAGCTTATTGACACTCGTCGTGGTCGATTCCCGTAGTCACAGGCTAACGCACCCACAAAGAAGTGTATTCTTACAAAAAAAATGAACCCTCCTCACAAGGGTGCCCGAAAAAAAAAATCTCCGACACCTACATACCCATTTTCTTATTTGGGGGGTGTTTGGGGGGGGGTACCGGTATTCTTTTTCCTTCGTAAAGCATAGGGGGCCCGCGGTGGGGAACCATTTCTTCCGTGGGGTACCTTGTGCACGAGCTAGGATCCTTTCTTGCAAACCCCGAAGCCATGATCACACAAATGGGAACGTAGCACAAGAGAGCACCTACTCAACTCAAACTATGCGTGTAACGTCGTCAATTGTTGTACACGACATGTCGCACATGAGCTAGTTGCGTGCAGTGGTCGCTTAAGCCCCATCAGAAGCAAAAAGTCGGAAAAAAAAATTCGGCCCTCCCGGGGGGGGGTTGGGGGGGACCTAGATGTGCGGGACGACATTCTTCGTGCACCCTTGCTCCACATGAAATAAAAAAAACGTGACAAAAAAGTAGTAGACAGGATCGCATCTCATGCGATAGTTGGAGAACGCCGCGCCATTTCCCCCAATGCCATCACAGGTGGCCAGTGGGCACGGTTACGGGGGGGTGAAAGTGACCTGTAACCCCTGGGCGTTGTACAACCTGCGTAACCCGGTCGGGCGCACCGTTGCCAACCTCCTAGGTCACCCAGGGTTCGGAAACGCCAGCCCAAACCCAGTTAAGGGACATACTTCCTCTGTATCATAAGTTAGGGTACCTAAATTTGTACGGGCCCTTAACCGTGTCCGATCTGTTTTCCGGTTTTTTCGTTGAAATCTTCGGAGTTTTTTTAGCAAGAAACATTTATTTATATTTTTNATTCCATCGCTAGAGTGAGTAGTGGGCCGGTAGGGTACTAATATCAGATGGTTTTGAGATTTTTTTCGAGAATTCTCAAAAACAATCCCAAATAATTTTCTCAAAAATATTCCCATAACAGGCCAAAACAGGGTGTATTTTGACCGATATTAGGTACAGAGATAGATGTTCGTTTTCTTATTTTATTTTTTCTATCGCTTCTTCTTTGTTATATCTTTCTTACAAACCCGACTATGCTACCATCACTAACACGGTTGCACCCAGACAATCTATTGCACTTAGGTACCCTAACTATGATACAGAGGAAGTATCTATCTGTGCTTGGTTGCAGGCGAGGTTGTCCAAGCCCGAGAATGTTCGTGCCTTGCCGAGAAAACTATGTACCAGCCGGTGTCTACAGAGTACACGACACATCGACTTATAGGACATTCGCGGCAATAAAACAAAAAAGCTTCAAGAGTGCCGGAATTTGTAAGCCCGATTGTATAGTTGACTACCGTTAGACGAGAAAAATTAAAACAGTACTTCATCTCCGCACCAGTACTATTTTCAAAGGAACCTCCTCCTCGCCGCTGATCTGCAACTAACTTCCCACCGGTCACCCCGCGAGTAGCCCCTCACCCCTTCGTGAGGGCTTATTTACTTGCAGCTGTCGCGTTTTGGGGCCTCTGTTCTCACACCACAAAGAAAGGCGGGTTCGTTCTTGTTCTTAACACCACGTCGGGCCTGAGCACGCA